TGAGGGAATCCATTGGTTCTGGCTGTGGAAGCCTCATGGAGCTGCAGCGGCTGTGCGGCAGCGTGGGCTTGTGGGGGGGGGGGAGCCAATCCTTGAATTCCTGTTATTGAGCCTTGATCTTCACTGAGGGCCAGTCATCAACTGTTTAAGTGTTCAATTATCAACAAGCCAAAATCTGTGGAAGGCCATAATGGCCCTGCTTTAAGTGGTTCGCTGCTCCCGCAGCTCACCACGCTATCTCTGCCTCTGCTGCCATCTTGGATCTTGCCCAGATAACACTTGTTAATCATTTCTGTCACCTGTATAGCAAAGATGTTTAATAACAAGACTTTCACAGGTCTGCTTCAGCTTCACCTTTTTTATTTGCTTCCAGTGAATTTAATCAGGTGTCTGAAAGTGGTCATTTTGAAACCATACAACCCAGTATAAATTGTTGTGACATACTATCAAGGGAGCTCTGGTGTCCTAGTGACACTGTAATCCTGAAGACACATGGTTCAAGTCCACCAGAACTCCTGTGTGATTAACCAACTGCCTCTAAACATCCACGCAAGGATCAGCTGTGGGTTGTGCTGTCGAAGTCAGAACCGGCTCATAGCTGACCCTCTGGCGTTTGTCAGAGACAGTAAACCACACAGGAGAGATTGCCCATCTTTCTCCTTCGGAGCACCTGATGGATTCCAGCAACCAGAGGGTTTGCTCCTTGGAAGCAAAGATGATGAAGCTTTGTCTCTCACTTTGGGCATTTTGCCTCCTGAAAGGTGGAGGATCCGTGAAAAAGAGGAAGACCGTCAGCCAGGTGTGTTGGCATGGTGACTGCAGCACTGGGCCTGAGTGTATCCGAGTTTGTGAGGATGGGATAGGCCAGGGTTCAGCTCTGTCGTTGATAGAGAGGGCACTTAACTGCATGTGCACAGTGGCCCAGGCCATAAGGGCCACACTAAACTGCTCCAGGGAGACCCTGGAGTAGAAACCCCGCAGAGAAGCGCAGGACATGCCCAGGAGTGAGCCAGCAGTGTCAACAATGTACAGCTCATGTCACAAGATGAAGCCATTCTTAGGGAGCTCTGGTGGCCTTGTGGCAAGAAGCTGTGCTGCAATCCTGAAGGCGCACGGTTCAAATCCACCAGGTGCTCCGCTGGAGGAGGGGCAATCTACTGCCGGTCGGGATAGATAAGATGAAGCCATCCTTGCCTCCCTCGGCGCTCAGCAGCGCACCCCTGCTCGGACACTACGTCGTTCGTTCCCTCGCTGCTGTCCAGTCAGAGCCAACTCCGGCTTGTCTTTCTCCTGTGACCCCTTTGGTGGATTTGAAGCCCCAGACAGGCACTGTCTTTGGGTCAGCAGAGCATTTCCTGCTGGCTGCACTGCCACAGTTCCCTTATCTGATCACCGTCATGCGTCCTTTTGGGACTGGAATGCCAGGCTTTCTTCTCTGGGGTTTCTGCTGGAAACTTTGGCATCCTGACAGCACGGCTCCACAGACACAACAGTGGGAGCTCTGTAGAGGGGTATCCACATGGAAGGCAAGAATTTTAACCCTGGAGCACCATAGCCCCCCTTTTCTCAGGGAGTTGAGTTTGAAGGGTGATAGCAGGCTGTTAAGCTGTGACAGCAGAGAGGGCGACATCCTGGGGTCACAGCGTCCAGCATGGAGAGCACCCTCCGCACTCCTTGAATGGTCTTTAATCAGCAATTTAAAATCCATCCCCTCCTCAGAGCCGATGATTGGATTTCCAAGGCTGTCAGTCCCAGTGAGAGGGGACAGATAGTCTGTCTCCCCTGCAGAGCTGTGCATGGGTTCGAACCTCTGGAGATAGGGGGGCAGTTAGCAGCATGTCAGCCTGGCATGCCACCAGGCCTCCTTATGTTCTCAACAGCAGCAACAAAGTAAGGAGGGGTGGGTGGGTGGAGCCTCCCCCACACTCGTCCCCTTTCCACCCCACAGGCAAGGTTCCGGGCGACGACTGTCCGCTGGTGTGGGGCCAGTGCTCGCACTGCTTCCACATGCACTGCATTCTGAAGTGGCTGAACGCGCAGCAGGTGCAGCAGCACTGTCCCATGTGCCGGCAGGAGTGGAAATTCAAGGAGTGAGCTCCCTCCTTCCCCCACGGGGCTCAGCCTGGACTCCCGGTCAGGACCTGGACTGTCAGCCTCACTCTCTGCCTCCACCTTGGGGGGCTCACTCCTGCTCCATCCTGGGGGAGGTCCATTCCCCCCTCATCAGCCTGGACTCAACTGTCCACTCCATGCTCCACTACCACCACTGGGAGACTAATTCTCAGCCTCACTCTCCAAGGGCCACTCCCCGCTGCCCTCCGTCTGGATTCACTGTCCAACTGCCCACTCCCCAAGGTAATCACCCAGCTCGCCCTAGACTCATTGGCCTCCTATCCCAACCCGAGGAATTCATCCCCCAGCCCAGTCTGGACTCGCTGTCCATCTCCATCCCCAGCTGGTCTGAGAATCCCTGTGTCTGCACTGGGACCCAGAGCCTTGGTGGGGACAGCTCCCTTCTAGCTGTGCTGGGTTGAAACCAGGACAGCAGTTGTTTTTCCTGTGACATGTTGACACTTTTATTCACTAAGTGATACTAATTAAAGTCTCTGGTGCCCAAGGAGTCCAGATATTAAATCTCTCATGAATAAACATTTCTGCCAGTGCCGGGGGCCTGCCACGTTGACTCTGCAGAGAGCGCACAGTCCCTAGCGGTGTCTACAAGGCGGGCCCATCACCAAGGCATCTTCCCAAGTGCCACTGCAGACAGACTGTGACAGATCTGATGTGGGCTGTCAGGGACGGGTGGTCCCCTGATGGGAGGGGGCTGATGGGGCCCAAGCTTGCACACATCCCTCTGTGCCCCTGACTGGGAGCTGCTTTTGGGAAGGACCACCCTTGCCAGGCCTAGAGGGACTTGCTGCACTCTGGGTGGCTGGTAACCTAACGGGGGAAGGAAGCTGGCAGGATTAGGTAGTGAGTTTTAGTCCTTCAGTGTCTCTTGACGCCCAGACTCTGGGACTCCCAAGTCTGAGGCCTCACAGAGGTCCTGGTCTGTACACCAGCACCCTTACTTTCCCAGGAACCTCATATGGGGACACTGTCCACTCTCCTGCACCGCCCTCAGGGGCACAGCCGGTACCTCGTCCCCCAGGACCTGTGCACACTGCACTTCCCCTCTTTGACCCTCCTGGGGTAGGCTTTCCTGGGCCACTCCACGTGGACATTCTGGTCCTGAGCCTGTGCAGGGTCACCCCCCCCTGAGCAGTGCTGGCTGGAAAGGACGCTTTTTTGTGCCAACTTTTATCCAATAATGTGCCCATAGGGGCTTGAACTGAGTTTCCACAGAGACGGGGCCCAGGCTTCAGTGGGCGAGGGCTCTAAGTGCATGGCTGGGTGGAAGGGCAAGGCCAGAGGCCAGAGGGTTTGGCCAGCTGGTGATAGGACCTTTCTCTCCTGTATGTACCACAAAGGGCTCCCCAAGGCCACCTCCTTCAGCTGGGAGCAGAGAGAAGCTGGCCTTGGGAACCCCTCCAACCCAGCCCCAGCTTGAGAGGTTGACAGGAGCTTCCTGGAGATTGTGAGCCCCGAGGGCGTCTCTGTACCTCGCCTGTGCGGCTGCCTCAGCTGCCCTGTGGGTTCTGCCGCCCCCGACTGCACCTGCGGCCCCTCCAGGATATAAGATCTGGCGGCACAGCCGCTGCCGCCACCTGCATCGTCATGGCCCGGTCCGAGATCCTGGTGGCCGCCCTGGCCCTGGCCCTGCTGCTGGCATCACACGGGCACGCGTGGTACAAGCCGGCGGCCGGGCTCAGCTACTACTCTGTGGGCCGCGCAGCAGGGCTACTGTCTGGCTTCCGCAGGTCCCCGTTCATGCGACGTGCCCAGCTGCCCAGAGGGTTTGAATCCCCTGGTATTCGTCCCAGCCTGCAGGGCCTGGTGAGGTGCCGGGGACGAGATGGGGGTCAGGGGTGAGGGGGTGGGCAGGGCGGTGGCTCGGGAGAAGGGACCAGTGCTCAGCCAGCCTGCTGCCACCCCAGGCCCTGTGCGTCCGGCATGTGACTCCGAGCCTGCAGGGCTGCGCGCGACTCCCCGACAGCACCTTCCAGTGCAAAGCGGACGTCGTCCTGTCACTGCGCACCTCAGACTGCCAGCGTGCCTGAGTCCCCATGCTGACCTTACCCAGTCCCCTCCTGTCCCCACCCTGATCCTGCTCCAAAGTTCCCAGGTCTGCTTTCCCAATAAAGCTGGAAACAGCCTCAGTGTGGGGTTGTTTTGGGCAGGGATAAGGTCACGTCTCCCCACGCAGTCAAGGGCATGCCCAGCGAGCTGCACCCTACAAAGCAGGTGATTCTGCTTCACCTGGTCTTCAGGCTGCTCCCCATGCCTCCAGTACCTCCCTATCTTTTATCTCCAGGGGTCTCCAGATCTCAACTCAAACCCTTGCACTGAGGCCCACTAAGACATCAGTCCTGAGACACAAGACCCACATGGGAGTTGGACATAGAGCAGCTGCAGAGGGCAGGCAGGCAAGAAGCGGGTGGTGGCCCAGGCTGACCCAGCTGGCCCTGTAGCATCCAGGCACCACTTCAGGTCCTGCGGGCAGAGAGAGCTGAGGAGGAAACCTGCACAGTTCCTGCATGATCCAGACACTGGGGAGCTCCACCTCCAGGGTCAGTGCATTCTTCCTTGTCCCTCCCGTCTCCCAAGTCCCAGTTGGAGCCAGGCAGATCCCCAGGGAACACCACCAGGTCCTAAAGGAAGAGTAGCCGGAAGCCTAATTTTGGGGACCCGAGCCTTGGTCCCAGAGCGTGGGGCACTTGACAAGCTAGGCCTTGGGTCTGTTGGGAGGTGGACTGCTGGCCCTCTCCTCCCAGTCCCTGGTGGGTTGGTGAGGGGCTCTAGGCAGGAAAGCAACCCATTCTCTCCCAGCCTAGGACACCTGCCTCTCATCAAACACCCTGCCGCCCCTACTACCTGTGCTTCAGGTATCTTAACCTAGGGAAGAGAGCACCCTTTTTTGAGATTGAGCACTCCCAGACAGGGAGCAGGTCCCCACTGATGTCAGGAAACCACCTGTGGTCTTGAACACAACCACCTGACCCATCAGCCCCCATACAGTGAGAGCCAAGCCATATGACATGGGCTGCTCCATGGGGCCAGCTCAGAAGAGTCCCATAAGGCTCATGTAAAATGGGGTGCTTGCCCTGCTCCCCTGGAGAGGGACCCCGCGGAACAGCTCCAGGACCAAGGGCTGCCCAGCCCCCACCTTACTCCCAGGCTAGTCCCATTGCAGGGCCAAGAGCGCACATGGAGCCTCCCCTGGGTTTATTCAGTCCCCATAGATATTGGTGGAAGCAAATCCAGGCCAGATGAAGGCAGGAAGGTCTGAGGGGAGCAGCTGGGTGGCAGGGAAGGGGGTGACTCCTGGAGGAGCACGGCACCAGCTGGACCGAAGGCAGGAGGGTAGAGCCCAGGAGGAGGTCAGGTGCCTCCGGAGGTTCTGCTGGCTGCACCCCTGCTGTCTCTGCCTGGTGAGGTGGGCAGAGTGGGCTGCTAGGGCCCCCAAGATTGGAGCTGAGATGGACCCTCGGACCTCTGGTCTCAGACACCTGGCTCTGGCTGTGACCCCACAGCCTGTGTGTGCAGCTCAGCACCTGGGAAGGCACCTCGACGCCCTAGGGCCGTGTATGGGCGCTAGGCCACCTCGAGCAAACCGAGTGAGGGCCAGGGCTGCCGCTGGACGGCCCAGATCAGAGGTCGCAGTCACTCTCCACCTGCCGTGCCTCCTGCTTCCGCGCGGCCTCCAGGAAGGCCAGCTCCTTGGCCTCCTTCTTCTGGTTCCGGGCTTCATACTCGAGCCTGCAGGGACAGGTGGGCTGAGCCCCAGCTGCAGCCCTAGCGCCCCTCAAGCCCACGGCTGTGCCTGTGGTGGCCTCACCTGTTCTTGATGATCCTCTGGACGATGAGGTCGGTGGTGAGGTCGCTGCCACTGTCCACCTGGCAGAAAATGCCTCTCCGCTTGGGCTCCTGGGGCCAGGAGGATGGACAGGTGGCTCACTGGGTCGTCACCCGCCCACCCGGGCTCACCAGGGTTCCCTGAGAGACAAGTTCTCAGCAGCACCTACCTGGTACGGATCAGCGCCATCCTTGCCTGGCACAATTTCTGTCTTCCCGTGACATACCAGGTCCACCTGGGAGGCAGCCGGGTTTAGGGAATCCCAGGGGGTAGCCTACCTCAGCCCAGGCCCTCCCTGTCCACCGCACCCTCACCTTGAAGTGGTCCAGGAGCTCAGCCGTGACCGCGTAGGGGGCTCCAATCACCACCTCTGACACATACTGGGGGGACAGACATAGCCCGTTAGCCCAGCCCAGCAGTCAGAGCTCAAGGATGGGGGGAGACACCAAGACATGGTGACACCAGACCTAGGACCTGTATGTGGACAAGCCTGCCAGCCACGCACTCAAGTCTGAGACTGGTCAGCTCTGGTGGAGGAGTGATGCCTGGATGCCCGCCAGCCCTCTTGCCCCTTGGGCACAACACCTGCGGGCTACTCACCCGGCAGGCCAGTACACTCAGGGTCCGCTCGTGCAGGTTCATAATGGGGTAGTTCTTCCCTTTGTAGTGGTTGACCTCCTGTGGAGTAGAGAGGAGTGCAGGTCAGCTGTCACCCAGCAGTCAGAGGCCGAGCTCCCTCCCCACCCTGTCTCTGCCGTTCTCCCTGTCCGTCTGTGGGGCGCTGCCCAGGGTGTACTGGGAGGGAGTCCATCCCACACCCCTGAAGTGGGCCCCAGTCAGCCCAGCCCTGCACCAGGCCTCTGACAACTCCATCCTAGTTCCTATAGCAGCGTCCCAAGCAAGCACTGGGCAAGGACCTGGTCAAAGTGAAGGCCAGCTATGATGTAGGGCCGCTCGGCCAGCTGGTGCACCTTCTGCAGGAAGTCCACATGCCCAATGTCTGGGTCAGAGTCAAGGAGCAGACAGTAAGAGACCACCAGAGCCACTGCAAGACGCAGGAAGGACGCCCCGCCCGCACCCAGCCCCACCTGCCAGACACCCCAACCCAGAGACGCCAAAAGGATACGGAAGAGGTCGAAGGCACCAGCCACATAGATGACCGTCTCCCCCGGCTGAGGCTCCTTCCCAGAAGCAAACTGGATGATCTTCTGGGATGTCTGCAGAAACTGGGACACACCTGTCCACGGGTTCCGGCTGCCTGGACACTGCAAGTGGAGAGGCGCTAGTGAGCAACAGATGCCCAGTGTCCCTTGCCCGGCCCCCAGCCTGGGGGCCCTTCTGTCCCGAGAGGCACAGGGTAGGAAGAGAAGGCCAGGAGGTACTCTGTAGGCAGGGCAGACAGGCCAGGCAGGCAGGCTGCAGTGCTGGGCCACACCACAGCAGGCGGGATGTCCTGGGGCCAGCACCAAGGCCTCAGGCCAGTGACTGTCCTAGGAGCAGAAGGCAGGGGCCAGAGGCCAACAGAAAGAAGCCTCAGGAACCTGGCACCCTGAGACCACCATCTGGTGTCTCCCCGGCTGGTGTCGGGGCTACAGAGGGGGAAAGGCCAGGCCACTTGGTCAGACTCCTCTGGGCCAGGGCCGCTGAACTGCCCTCCTCCCAGAGTCCCCCCCCATGGCCAGCTGGCAGTCAGCACCTGAGAGCAAGTGCAGCAAGGGGCTTGACCCTCTTCCAGCCTCGGACAAGGAGGGGGGCCTGCAGCTAAGCCCACACAGAGCGGGAACCACTCACCTTACCGAAGCTGTCGGCATACTTGCGGTAATCAGAGAACATCTCCTGAGGGGGACAGGCAGTGAGTGAGCCCTGCGGGCCACAGATGTGCCCTCCCGAGACGTGGCCCTGGGCCCCAGGGCTCACCTGGCTGCTGTGGTGTGCCTTGGTCACCAGCAGCATCCGGCCGACAAGGTCAGTGGTCGATACTCCCTGGGTGCGCTTGCACTCTCTGGGGGACAAGGTGATAAGTTCTCAGACTGGGAGCTCCACAGACTCTGGTCCTGGGCTTCTGTGCTAGCCGACAGCAGCTCAGGCCCCAGGTCTGCTGTCCTTGTCCACCACGGCAACATCCCACCCTGTCCTGCTGGCTATATTGTTTCTGAGGTGGCCTCCAGGCTGCCCAGTCCACGCAAAGCTGAACAGCGGCCACACTGGTCTTTCAGCTCTTAGATTAGATCAAAGGTTCCTTTCCTGAGCTGCTTCAGTCAAGATCCCCTGCTGGACAGTTACACGTGGGGTGATGCCGTCCTGTCCATCTAGAACAATCCACACTCCCAGAGTGCTCTACTGCACTGTGCTCTTCCAGCCTGGTGACAGAGGCAGGGACGCCCCACATCACGGGGACAGGATACACTTCTGGTGAGAGTCACCACGGCTGCATCTAAAACCAGCATCTCCTCCCCCGGTCCAGAATTCTGTGAGTCAGTGACCAGTGAAGGGACGACTGAGAGCCCTGGAAGCAGTCTCACCTGTATCTGCCGGCCTGCTTCACCTCCTCATAGGTGTCCCGGCCATCCACAGTCAATGTGATGTCATCTGTGGACACCAGAGCATGGTCCTCAGCCCAAGGGGACAGTGTTGTAGGCCCATGATACCCCATCCTAGTTCCCTGCTTAAGGAGAGCTCAGATTTGGGGAAAACTCAGCGCTCTCCCTGACCCCTCAAGGGGACCTGACAGCGGAGGTGCCCCCCACAGCTGAGGTGCCCCATTACCCCATGCTCCTGTGCCCCTGAGTGCTATGGTCCCATGGTACAGCCACACTCACTGCCATGGACACAGAAGTCACAGTTGTACTTGTCCAGTGTCTCCAGCGTGGTAACGTATGGTGCTGCAGCCACCACCTCGTCTACCCACTTGATGGCCTGCACCATCTTGTACCTCTCCTCCTGGGTGAACACGGGGGGACCCTTGTGCTTGGAGATCTCCTCTGAGTAGAGACACGGTAAGGGCAGATGTAACCATATGCTGGCCCGCCTCCCCCTGTGGATTCTCTTTCCCACTCAGCCGGCCCCCCGCCAGGTTGGGGTTGGTGCCTGGGGTCTCGACTCACCGTCTGTATGCACACCCACAATCAGGTAGTCGCCCATGGCTCGTGCCTGGCGCAGCTGGTTCGAGTGGCCATAGTGCACCATGTCGTAGCTGTGAAGACGGGAACCACTCAGCTTCGCGTGGCCTCTCCAGACATTCAAGCCTAGCCCCACAGTGGGGGCTGGGTCTGTGCTGTCACCTCTGTCCCCTCCAGCTGGGTATGGGGGACAGACCCTAGATTGTTGAGACTCTCCTTTCAGCAAACACTAAGTGTGGGGGTTAAGATGGACTACTAGGTAAATCAACACTAGCTCAGGGACAAGGGCTGCATGGTGTGCCCTGAACCACCGCTGAAGAGAAAAGCCCAAGGCTGGCTAGTCAGACCCCTAGGGAGGAAGGGTTTACTCCCTGGCCGTTGGTGAACACGCCGCATCCTCACACTGACTCTGGCTACCTGCGGACTCTGCCACCCGAGGCACCTGATACCTCTGAACACCCATCAGGTGGAAGGACGTTTGGCAGTTGCCTGAAGTCACCTGGAGTGGTGAGCTTAAGCGGGACCCTCTTTCAGGTAAGAACAAGGTGAGTGGTGACCAGGATTACCCTGTCAGTCCTAGACACAGTGCCACTGCACCCACTCCCTCACTCACTGTAGTCCCATTGATGGGACAGCTCAGGTAACCTGGCTGGCCCTGTGTGAACCAGCAGGGTTGGGCTGGGTGTGGCCTGGGGTCAAGGACAAGGCTGGGGTCAAGGACAAGGCTGGGGTCAGAGTCCACTGCCCCAGAGCCAGGTCCCTCGCCCACTCGGGAGCTCTTTCCTCTGACACCTGGGCTTCCAGCAAGGTGAGGGTTTCTGCCTTTGCTCCCCTCGAGAGCGGTACAGGAAAGTGGCGCAGGTGGCAAACTACCAGCAACTGTGAGTTACCCGGACTTTCCTGTCACCCACATCATCTCCCCGGTACAAAGCAGCAGCTAGCCCTGTTGGGTGGGTGCAGGACACTGGGCTGTGTCCAGCCAGCGCTGGGTAAGGGGCTCCCACACTAAAGGCAGCCTGGAGGCTGGCGCAGACCCTGCAGCCACAGCGCTCTCACTGGGTCTCCAGTGGCCACTTCCTCGTCCTCAGCTGGATCAGTCAGGCCAAGAACTCAGGCTTTCGGCCCCACCAGTGGGGGAGGTGCTGCCTGGAATGTTACTGCCTAATCCTCAAGGGCAAAGGTCCAGGTCCTCCCCCTCGGGCATTTCTGACCGATAGGTATGAGGCCTCGGATAGCCGGGGCCGCTTGCCCAGGGGTCGTGGGGATCCTAGGGGCTCAGAGCAGGACTTGGACTCAGGTGGGTCCTGCTGTCCCTGTGCCCATGCCCCGCGCTGACCTCGGCGATTGGGGCCCACGCAGAGCAGGGCTCCAGGTGGGTCCTGCCGGCTGGCGCCAACGCCCCCAAACCCAGCACCCTGCCGCGGACACCGGGCGCGTGACACACGTTCCCCGCCAACGACCCTTCTTTGGCCAGCCCGGGCGCAGCACCGCCCGGGCACTGGCCGCTCTCTCCCGAAGGAGAGGTTCGCCACAGGACGGAGCTCGGTCAGAGAGCACCGGGCCGACCGGCCATTCCCGCCGTGCTCACCAGCCATCGCACCACACCCGCACGGCGCGCCGCGTCTCTTCGCCGACCTGCTCCGCGGTGCCCGCCGCTCCATGGCCGTTCCGGATCATCGTTAGTCGCCGGCGCAGCCTGGATCGTACCAGTGACTGAGTCTCCCGGCAGCTTCCCGGACCCGCGCACGCGCAGCCGCTGTCACGCGGGCCTCACCCTGTAGCGCTCAGCCAATGGTGAGCATTGTCAGCTCGGACCCCGCCCCCCGCCCGAGGCCCCGCCCCCGCCCCGTGCACCCTCGGCCAATGGAGTGCTTCTCCGGCCCGAACCCCGCCCCGGCTCCCCATAGGCGTGCGCTTCACACACTCGTCACACCCCCTTTGTGCTCGGCCAATGGAGAACGCCGCTGGCTCTGAAGACCCGCCCGCCCATGCAGGGCCCCGCCCACCCACGCAGGGCCCCGCCCCTCCAAACTTGTCTACCGCCTGTTAGGGCGGGGGCCGAGCCTGAGGGCATCCCGCCTCCTGGGACAGGGGTCCTGGCTCCACAAGGTCAGGGTCTGCTCTAGTAGCCGGGGCAGGCCTGTGTGCTTTGGGGTCCCTCCCACCCCCTCCACGGCGTGGCAGTCACTCGGACAGCGGGAACAGTGCAGAGCTGTTTAATCATCATAAAAAGAGCTGCTGAAGCGGGGTCCACCTCCGCCACCGGACAAACGGCGCTAATCAACATTCAGGAGAAAGACTGGTGGAGAGGGCTGGTTCCTGAGAATGACCTGGTGACCGAGGGATCACAGCCACGTGTGACGCACCCTCTCTTCTGGGACCTTGGCCAGGGGATGGGAGGGCCCCCAGGGTGGGGACACCCACAGCAGTGCAAGGAGCCAAGAGATGCAGCTTCCCAGAGGTGGGTGCGCACAGATCCTCAGCGACCCTCACTCCGGAGCGTCCGCAAAGTGCCAGCTGTGTTCTCCACCCAGCCACGGTTACGTGACCCTCCGCCTCTTGGTCCGCTTGGTGCAGCCCCTGCCAAACCAGCCCCCGCGAGTGGGGACTGGGCTGGGCGGGGCACCGTGCTCTGCGGCCTGTCCCTCTCCTGGGCTCTGGCAGAGCAGCTTCTGGCTGTGGCTGTCCTCTTCGCCAGCACGCAGCGGGGTAGCCAGGGAGAAGATGGGGTCCTCCCACCTAGTGGGAAGGAAAAGGGGCCTCAGGTGTGCTCACACCTGGCTCTAGGCCACCACCTGCCCCCCACCTCCCCGCCCTCATCTTGGCCAGGCGGAGGTCAACAGTAGCTACAGAGCAGTGCCGCCAAGGCCGCCGCGTGCGCTGAGGTGACCACGTGCCCCACCGGAGGTCAGGCCCGAGCCACCCCAGTTCCCCTTCACGGTCCCCCTTCCCAGATGCAGGCGGTGCAGGAGCTGACAGGGAGGGGCAGGGAGGCACGGCCTACAGAGCACGTTGTGAAGAAATCATACATGTGTCTGATTTGAGATGTAGAATCACAGTCATAAACGCAAGATACAGATACGCACTGATAAAGAAAATGAGCTAAGTTAATGTACAAAACAAAAGAAGTACAGTACACAATAGGCCCACGGCACAGAACACCACAAACATAACATACAAGGATTGCCAGGCCCAGAAGGTGAAGGGATCCTTAATTTCTTGAACCCTTTGATTAAAAGAAGTTATTGATTTCCCCTAAAGACCCTGAAAATTCACAGAGAGAGAAAGTGTAAACTTTTGACTCAGCACACAGTTTGTATCCACATCATTACAATTGCGCATTTCAGCTGGGTTCACGCGCCCGCGGGGACCACCAGGCCCCACTCCGATGCTCTGGGCCACTGCTGCCCTCCGAGCCTCCCACCAGACACTGCAGGGGGGCGGAGCGCCCCACAGGTGCACACGAGGGCGTGGGCCTCAGGGTGACCACTCACCGGCTGTAGGAGGGGATCTCCAGGCCCAGCTCGCCCATGAGGAGCTGCATGACATCATCACACTTTCCATGCAGCTTCAGCGTGGCCCAGTCGTCCTTGGGTGTCCACTGAGGCCGGGAAATAGTGTAAGCCAGTGCCTGCCCCCTCGTGGAGGCCTGGGTCCTTCTCACCCAGCACTCCCCAGGCTCCCACTGGACCGACCCGCTGCTTCTTCTGCCCAAAGTCCGAGTCTAAAGGTGGGCTGCCTGCCCGGGGTCCACCTCACCTGCAGGTTCACAATGTAGAGCTTGGGCCGCCGGCTGGGGGGCTTGGTCATGCACCAGAGACGAGGGTACTTCTTCAGGACCTGCAGAGACACAGACCTTAGCAACCAGGAACACACACACACAGAGGGAGGCTGTGGCTGGGCGTCCCCAGGGGCCGGATGCTGTGGGAGGGAAGGCGCCTCTGCCACCCAGTGATGCAGGTGCTGACCTTTAAGCTGGACCCCAGGCATAGGATGGTGTCTGCTTTGCTGGCAGCTGCAGTGGCCGCCTCCCAGTTGAGTGGCTGCCCCAAGGTGCCGCGTTCCCCAAAGTGCACGATGGTGTCGCGAAGCGGGGCCCCACACTTGTGGCAGGCCCGGCCTGTCTGGTGCCGATGCAGCGCCGTGCGCTCCGTCACATCGAACACCCGCACATACTCCCGGTTTGGAGTGCAGGACGTACAGACCTAAGGGAGGCCCAGAGCATACTGTGAGGCCGAGATGGGGAGGTTTGGAGAAGAGGCTGTGAGCAGGCGCCCTGTTCCCGGTGCCCACCTCGATGTGCATATTCCCATGCAGCTCAGAGATGGCCGTGCGAGGCAGCCCACTCCGCAGGTGGAGCCCATCGCAGTTCTGAGACACCACGTGCTGCACCTACAGGAGAGACCAATGTGTGGTCAGGAGGTGTACTCTAGAACCCACCTTCCCTTGGGTGGGATCCTGCGTCTCAGCTGGAAAGGGACTCAGGACACTGCCCCCCGCCGCCGAACACTGTGTCCCTAGATGATGCCAGCCTCCCGCCCACTGACAGCTGCTCGTGACTGATTATGGGGCCCATGGGGTCAGCTCACCAGCTTCTGCTCGTGCAGGCGGGCGATGCTCATGTGGGTGAGGGTGGGGTCAGCTTCACTCAGGTCAGTGACACTGCCAGGTATGAAGGAGAGCAGGTGAGGGCACTGAGGACTCAGACCAAAACCTGCCCTCCTCTTCCCAGTGGAAGGTGGACAGCCGCTCACCTAACGCTTCTTCCCTTCTGCAGCAGCGTCCAGACGCCATTGGGGCCGCGGTAGTCTGGTATGGAAGCCGCCTGCATGTTGAGAGACCAGGCTAATCAGAGGGAAGCACTGTCAGGACAGAGCTGGTTCTCAGAACTGGCAGGAGGAACTGCTCTGCTCCAGGCTGACCCCAACTGCCAGCTTACTACAGACCGTGAGGTGGGCTCCCTCCCTCAGAGGTCCCCCTCACCTGAAAGAGGTGGCTGCTGTCCCTACACGCCGCCTTCCTAGATTATACGTTCCCACAACACACTGCTTATTACTGCTAGAGAAGTACCTCCAAGTATCTAGGGCTTCATGGCAGGGAGTCTGGTCAGGGCCCAGTGTTCAAGACCCAGGCAGCAAGTGGAGGTCTAAGAAATAGCTCTCTATCCACCAAACAGATTCATCCTGGAGATGAATCCTTGGCTGTTCCTTGGAGGCGAGGATTCTGGGGCTTCGTCTGACATACTTTGGACATGTTGCCAGGAGGGACGGGTCCTTGGAGAAGGACATCATGCTTGGGAGGGTGGAGGGACAGCGCAGGAGGGGAAGACCCTCTACGAGGTGGATGGATTCAGTGACGGGGTAATCGGGATGGGTGTGTCAGAGACAGTGCGATTGGCACAGGACAGAGCAGGGTTTAGGGTTGCTACTCGACAGCACATAACAACATCTACCTCACCTTACTCTACAGCAGATAAGGTGCTACTTCCTTTCCCGAGCTTCCAAGGGGGCACCAGCCCCTGGAGAGAAAAGGCCAGAAAGATGCTGGGTCCCATAGGTCTGGCTCTCCGACTGAGATGTGCTTCTCAGCACACGTGGCTGCTAAGTCAAGGACAGTTCTTCCAATGCCCACAATTACTGTCTTTCTAGCCATGTGACTAGATTTTTCCCCCCTCTTCTAGTCATATGACCGGATTCAAGTCTCGGTCTCACATACTATGGGCATGTAGCCAGGAGGGACTAGTCTGTGGAGGACATCATGCTTGGATGGGGTGGAGGGACAGCACAGGAGAGGAAGACTCCAGATGAGATGGATCGACACAGTGACTGGGGTAATCAAAGCAGGTGTGTCAGAACTGGTGCAACCTGCTCAAGACAGAGCAGGGTTCAGAGCTACTGTACACAGGGTTGCCGTGAGTCACAGCTGACTCCACAGGACACAACAACAACAGACACATGGCTGGACTTCACTCAGGTCTGTGGGGGGCACGACAGACCACCTGGGACCAAGGTGCTCACATCACAGCAGCAAGGACCTCCACGTCCCTCCTACAGGCCTGTCAAGGGGCCACTTCCTCCAGAAGCCAGTCCAATTGAGTCTCCTCAGTCCAACACGACAGAACAAGAGACCTGCATCTGCACGTGTAGGCACTTACTAGCCTTGTCCTCGTTACCCACAGGCGTCCATCTTTGCATGGAGATGACCCTCGGCCCCCATCGCTGCCAAGTCAGTTCTTAGTGTACCCCTCTCTAAGGCTCCTGGGGTTGCAAAGCTTATTCCAAGTGGCTGCCTCACCCTTCTCTTGGGGAGATGCTGATGAGTTTGAACTGTTAACCTTCCTGTGAGTAGCCAGCTCGTAAACCACTGTCACCAGGGTATCTATTCGCACCGCTGAATGAGGTCTGATCTGACTTGGTGTTTCCCTCCTCATCTGGAAATCTCAGCCCAGCTCTGCCTACTTCAGTGCCCTGATCCCTTAACTCTCAATCAGCCGGCAAGCTCTAAGCCACGGAGCCTTGCGCCCCAGTTCTCCTCCTCTCCCCGTGTCTGTAAGCGGACAGAACACGGCCATCACGCATCCTTGAGTGCTGTGCGTTTCTGCTTCTCTCAAGCAGCGCCTTTTGAAACCCAGCTTTCTCACGACTGGGTCTTGACCCAGCTTCTGGTGCTGAATTCTGTGCTGGGGTGCCTCACCCACAAAGGGGGATCCCTCAGCCACCCCATGGGCTGCCAGCTAATGACCCACAGCACCGGCCACCTCGGTTTCTCCGGGGCCACCGCAGGGCATCGGTGGCCAGTCACGCCCCGTACCGTGCTGATCCCTGCCCCCGTGTAGATGACCAGGTATTTGGCGTTCCTGACAGCGCTGGCCAGCTCCCGGACCTTCCTCCGCAGCTCGTCGGGGTCATCGCACACCTGCGAAGAGGCCGAGGTTGTCACGACCCCAAGCTTCGCGCGGCCTCCCACGTCCGGCGGATGACAGCTGGGCCAGCGGTGCCGTCCGCCACGCCGGGAGTGAGGGCCGCCGAGCACCCGCGGGGGTCCTCTTCCCTCCAGCTGGGTCCCCGGGCGCTGTCACCCGGGCAGGACCAGGCAGCCCCCTCCCGCCGCTCCGGCCGCCCCGCGGGACTCGCCTCCTCCTGGCGCCGCTTCAGGCCCTCCCGTCGGCGGCTCCGGCCCTGCAGCTCCGTGACCAGGTCCTCGCTCTCGGCCAGCAGCCGGCCCTCCTCCGCGCTGCGCTCGGCCGCCGCCTTTCTCAGGATGCGGGACACCTGCGGGCGGGCGGACAGGCGGTGAGCGGCGCGCAGGGCCCGGCCTGCACGGGACCCGAGCGGCGGCCTACCTGGCGGAGGTGCTCCCGCTGCTGTTCCTCCCGCAGCCTGCGCACCCGCTCCGCTGCCTTCCGCTCCGAGCGGCTCAGCCCGCCGGCTGCCATCGTCGCCCGGCACCCGCACTTCCGCTTCCGCCCGCGCAGGGCGCATGTGCGCGGCCCGCCCCGCCAGGCCCCGCCCCTTCCGGCCCCGCCGCCAAGAAGCACTTGCCAGTCTCTTTAAAAGGTGTTTATTGATCATATACAAAATAAAGAAAACCTTATATATCACAAACATACACTATGTACAGCAATAAATACCGGGGGGGCCCGGCCCAGCGCCGCCCCTCCCGGACAATAATTTAGCAATAAATACTGCGCAGGGTGGGGAGGCCGGAGTCCGACCACTGCCCAGTGGCCCTGCCCGCCCGCCCGCCCTGGGGGATCGCGGCCCCGGGCAGGGTCTGACCACGGAGCCGCGAGGGCGGCGTGGCCGGACGCCGGAAGCCCTTGTCCTGTTGCTCTAGGTTGCCAGGAGAATTCCGTGCTCACTCCCGTTTGGTTAAAGGCGATTAGGGCTCAGCAGAGTGAGGCATGGACGGAGGGCGGGAAAGGCTGAGGAATAAACCCAACGGGGGTCATTTGGAACTGGAAGATGTCACAGTTGACCTGGCGTAGACCTGTGGGGCATTCAGTGTTGGAAGCTGCTGCTCCAGGGGTCCACAGGTGGTACACACACCTGGGACTGGCACACACACAAGCGCGCGCACACACACACACAACCCGCGCCTCTGCAAGTCATTCTCCCCACCTGCTCCCAAACCCCAAACCACTGACAGCCAGCAGGAAGGGCGAAAAGCGCCAAAAGGAATTACTCGGCGGCTGGGGAGGGGGGGGGGCGGGGGACAAAGACTCGTTAATGTGTTGGTTCCTTCCACCAAACCGCAGTCTTGAAAAAGAACTCACAGGCTCAGAGAGCGGAAGCAGGGCCACAGGCTGCGGCTCAGCACATTACCTGTGGACAGAGCTGCAGCCAGGTGGCCGTGTCACAGGCAGCAGGGACAAGACATGGCCTGACCTGGAGCAGGCTACAGCCATCTCAGCTGGGCCAGGCACAAGAGGATGCTGCCAACACGTGTGCACAGGCTGGTCAGAAAAGCTCTGGGAGGGCTGGTACCCCCGAGCCACATCGAGCCACCAACAGCAGAAGCTGGGGACAGGGGGGTCCCCAGGCCAGATCTTCAGGAAGAGTTGATTCCTGACCTCGGTGGCCGATCTCTGAAACCTGAGGGTACAGGTTGGGACAAGGGAAAGCTAGGCAAGGTCAGGGTCACAGGAAGACGTCTACCCACACTGGTTTACCTAGCAGGCAAGTGTGGGAGACCTGGCCTCCACCCTGGTCTTCACTCGCTGTGTCAAAGAGTCAAGAGAGAAGGGAAGGAAACACACACCCTCACGATTCAACAAGGAGCAGAAAACCACAAATACAGGTGCCAAAAGACCAAGGGAGAGGGTTGCAGCAGCCCCTTGGGGCTGCCTGTCGAGAGAGCAAAGCTCTCCCAGACTGGGGATCAGTGGCCCAAGTCCAAACCCTGACTGAAGGAAGCAAGGCCTTCTCATGAGATCAACCTCTTCCACAGGCTGAACGGAGGGGCTGCACCAGCTGCCCTTCTTGACTGGCCCACTTCCGCCTCTGCTCATCCCGGTGGAGGTGTGACCAGGTATTGGTGATAGCCACCCACACTAGGGACAACCGTGAGACGGAGGAACTCATGGCCAGAGGGGAGTGGTGCTGGGACATGTGAGCAGAGTGCCCAGGGCATCCACACACACAGACGGCACCCAACCACTCTCTGGCCATCCACGCTGCCAAGAATGCAAGCAGCCCTCCACACTGTGCTCAGTGGGCTTCAGAAACCCCGGTCTGCAACTCCAGAGACCAGGGTCCTCCCGAGCCAAGGCTAAGGGGCAGCTGCTCACCTTGCCTAGGCCGGCACAAGAGGAGAACCCGCCCGGGATTAAATCCTTCCCCAAAGCCAGGCACCAGTTCCTGGAAGACACAGACCCCAGAGGGAGACCGAAGCAGGGTCAAAGCCAAGCATGGCCATGTCCCAGGAAGAGAGAAGGTTGAGACAGCCCCAGGTCCTTGGGGCGAGGAAAGGATTTGGAAGAAGGAGCCCAGGTCCCAGGGAAGCACCTCTCAGCCAAAAAGCATTTCTGGGCCCAGCAGCTGCAGGCAGAGGCCACAGGTAATCTAGGAGCCAAGCGCAGGGGCTGGGCTCGCACTGCTAATGGAGGAAATGAGGAAGAGAGCCAGGCCCCCAAGTCCGAGAGAGACACACACACACACCCCCCCCCGGAAGCCGAGGATCCGCAGGCAGGGGTGAGGGTGGCCTGGCAAGCCAGCGGGAGCAAGAACACAACCAATTCCCAAAAACGGACACAGGGCAGCGGACACGAGAAGTGACACCACAGGTCAAAGGTCACCAGAAGCACCAGCACATTACTTACGGCCACACAAGACCTCACCAGGCACAACATCACCACGGCACCGGCAGGGGACGGAAGCAGAGGCTAAGTCACTTTCGGTACAATTGCAAAAGAGGGGGGGGACACACGCGCCTGGGAGGGCTTCTCGGTTTGGCTCTTTTTTTGTTTGTTTTTTGTCTTTTTTTAAACTAAGTTTTATAAATAACGTCTGATAACTCTGTGTATATAAAAACTAAACTCCAACAGCCACAAAGAGTTGTCTGTAAGTTTACAAGAAAGGGTGCCCCTTTTTTTTGTACTTTTTTCCTTTTTCCCCCTTCAAACTACAAAGTTTCTATCACTATCTCTTCCCTTTTCCACAGATAGGGTTAGACGGCCTGCTTTTTTGTGGTTTTTTGTTTGTTTGTTTTTTTAAAAAAAGACAGCTTTATAAATACTCTGCAGCTCTTTCTTCTTCTTTTTTAGCTCTTAAACATATAATTTAATAACTTTGTAAAAGGAACTTATTCTCTCTCTTAAGGGCTATTAACCACACAAAGAGGTCATGTAAACAGTGGCACAGGACCCATGGGGAGGACACGTGGACACACCTTCACAGACGTGCACAACCAGCCAAGTTGGTCGTGTTCAGTGCAATGCCAGAGGCCCGGGCCTGCAGCCCCACCACGCCACCTCCACAGAGGGAACACCCACTCCTCCAGGCCAGCTGCCCGAGGGGTCCCAGCAAGGATGCGAGACCCCTCGAGCAGTGAAAAGCAGGCAGGGACACCCCTGTTATCCCTGGCACTCCCTCATCTATCCCACAGGACCCTATTCTGAGCCCATGTGGCTTGGCTCAAGTGGGTATGGGCAACCCCACATTACCGCCGAACTGACCAATCCCAACGTACAAGACACACAAGAACATGACGACATCAAGGGGGCTCAGCCCGGCGCTCAGAGGAGGCTGTGCTTTGTGGGGCAGGGAGAGGTGGAAAGGAGGAAGAGACGGAGGCAGGGGGACAGGGCCTCTGAGCTCGCTGCATCCCTAACGCTCCCGGTGCTCATGTCCCTACGAGCGGGCGTCCGTCTTGGACTTCACTATCGTGATGACACTGGTGGCGGCCACCTTCCCTGGGACAAGGGGCCCCAGGCCAGCGGTGAGGGGCCCCCGGGCCGGCGCCACGGGGCTGCGGGCCACGGTCCTGGCGAAGTTCTGCAGGGCCTCGTACTTGGAGCGCAGCGCGTCGAGCTCGAGCTTCATGCTGGCGTTCTCGGAGGCCAGCTTCTCCACCTCCTGCTGCAGCTCGGCCTTCTGCTTCTCCAGCTCCTCCTTCTGCGTCACGCGCTTCACGCGGCAGCTGGCTGCGTAGCCGCGGTTCTTGAGCGTGCGTCGCCGCTGCTTCAGCTGGACAATCTCCTCCTTGGAGAGGCCGCGCAGGTGCTGGTTCAGCTCGCGCACAGACATGCTCACCAGCTCCTCGTCTGTCAGGCTGGTGCCATTCTCCCCCGGCTCCCGCTTCACCTGGGGGACAGTGCGGTCAGGGAGGCCTCTCCCGCCGCGCCCCACCCACTCCCGGTCCCAAACTCACCTTCAAGGCCTTGCTTCCTTTGTTAGGGGTCGTCATAACCCGGGGGCACGGCAAGCAGACTCTCTCTGCAAGACAAGGGGCAGAGGTCAGGGCCCCAGACCCCCAAGCAGCCCTCCCCGCATCCCCCCCCACCCCACCTGCCTTGGCTCACCTGCCCATTCCCCCATACCTGACCTCAGGGGCAGCCCCTCAGGAGACTGTCAGGTGGGCACCCTGCTCTCTGGGACCCAGGTAGGGGGCCAAGAGGATCTGCTAGGCAGTGCAGCTGAGGGCTGGGCAGGAGTCAGAGGCAGAAGGGGCAGGGAGCTCAGAAGGAAGCCACCAGCTTTAAAAATAACCCAGCTGGAGCCCCATAGAGGCTGCCCCAGAGTCACGCTGACTCAGCACCTCCAGCTCCCGCCCTCCTGACGCTGGGCACTCCCCCTCCCGCCAGCCAGCTGCCCCAGGGGACCCGCGGAGCAGGCAGCTGGGCGGCAGCAGCAGGTGAAAGCCACAGGCAGACCCTGCCACCTAGGCCAGCGCCCTACCTGCGGTCAACACTAGTCCAAAGCCCCCACTCCCAGGATGGAGGACCAGGCTTTGTTCCCACCTGACAAAGCCATCCAGCTAACTTTGCAGACTCGGGGGCAAGGTAACCGCACTGGTCTGACCCCTCTTAGGAGCTCCCCTTGAGGTGGTACCTGGCCTGAGGCCACTGTCCCCACTCTGTCCCCTTCCGCTGATGGGGCAACCTTGTGGCAGCCCCACTGTTGCACCATCCATGCCCCTGCCATGCCCCACCCTGGAGGGCATTTCACAAGGGCCTGCAGAGAAACCACCCGGGTATGCAAGGCAGCAGTGGGGTCCCTCCCCACAGGCTCACTGACCACTCAGGTCTCAGTCCAGGTCATCAGCCGCAGGGCTCAGAAACCAAGACAGCAAGCCACCCTCCCACCCTGCCCTCAAGTCCTGCGGCCACCACAGGGCTACACAGTCAGTAGGGGTCCAGCAGACATAACTCAAAACACAGTGGCCCCTGGCTTTCTGACTACCTGAGAGGCAGAAGTGGGGGCACCTGTCCACATCCCAAAGAGGCCCTAAGCGCCTACCTAAATGTGACAGTGGAAGAGGCCACGGTCACCCCCTCCTTCAATCCTTTCAGGTTTACAAGGATGGGCTGGGGGCTGAAAAGGGTCTCCAGCCTCGAGCGGTCAGGTGCAGAGAACAACCCGTGGCCCCAGGTGGCCTTGGCACCGGTTTTCCCCACCCTCCCCCACCGCTCAGCACAAGGACTTCCTGAAGAGATCGCACAGAAAGTGCCGAGTGTGGCACGCTGAGCGCGCGGAAAACTGCCTCCTCGACAGATTTCACCCTCTGCAGAAGGCCTGCGCTCAGCACAAGCACAGCCAATGACTCCTAATCAAAGGAGGAGAGGTGGTGGGGGGGGTGCGCTGGCATATCCTCTATCCCCAGTGTGTGCACGCTCTTGTGCACGTCCGTATGCAACCTCTACCCCACAGTGTGTGCGCACCTCCTATGCCCCAGTGTGTGTGTGCGTGTGTGTGCACCAGCACACACTCTATGGCCCAGTGTGTGTGTGTGCGCGCGCGCGTGCGTGCACCCTCTATGCCCCGGTGTGTGCATGGTGCCCGTGTGTGCACCCACTATGCCCCAGTGTGTTTGCACACGCATGTGCACCCTCTATGCCCCAGGACAGACGCAGCCTTGGGACTAGTCCAGGAGTCAGTGCCCCAGGGCATCTCAGAAACCAGAGAAAGGGGCTTGGATCCACTGCCACGGACCTGTCCATGTGAGCGCTTCTCCTGGTCCCCAAGGACGGCTAGCCCTCACCTGCACAAAAATCTGACAAAACCAGCTCTCCCCAACCCACCCACCCAAGAGGTTGAGCCCACTTGGTGAGGAAGGCACAGCTGTCCCTGGGCCCTGGCCGGCCCAGGCTGAGGGTCAGAGATGGGTGGGTCCAGATATAGTATCTGTTAACTTGGAGTGCAAGGTCAGAGACGGGTGGGTCCAGATAGTATCTGTTAACTTGGAGTGCAACCCCAGGCCCTGGATAAGGAGCTGCTTCCATCCCAGCATGCCAGACCAGATGGGGCCAGCTGTGCCTGGAGACATGCCCCCAGCAGAGTCCACATCCAAAAGCCTCTGAGATTCTGAATCTCACCAAGGACTGGGAAAACCAAGCAATACCCTCCAGGAAGCGGCCAAATCCCTGGACCAAAACTCCAGCAAAACATGCCCTAATGGATGGACCAATCACTAAGCCCCAGGGAATAAAGTGTGAAATGAGGAGGAACAGTCACCATGCAGGACAAAGCAGCAGGCTGGTCCTCGCCGGCCCAGGCCACACCACTCACAGGCTGTCCTGTCCCTGCTGTGGCTGGCCACCAAAAGCAATCCCATCAGACCGCTCTCCTTGCTAACTTCTCCAAGAAACTAACCTCTGGCAGGCTCATCGTGGAGGTCCACAGCCATGGGATTCTCCCACACATGGCACGCGCACCAGGCCACCTACTGCACCCCAAGACCAAGTACCCCAATAGCTCCCACCACACTCCTGCTCACAGGACCTGTCAGCTTCCCACCCTTAAGTCAAGCTGCAATGACTGGTGGGAACTGCCCAATCGCCTGGCCAAGGAGTGCTGTCGGCCGGCTGGGGCTGTCCAGCTTTGTCCAGCCCGCCAGCACGGCCCCCTTAAGCTCCTCCCTCTTCTCAGCTCACAGCACTAGTGCCCAGTTTGGGGAACTGCTTCTGAAGCAGGAACACATCGCTGTCAGAGAAGCGTGCCTGGCAGGGGGTGGCCAGGCCAGGTGTGTGTCACCTTCTAGCCCAGGGACAATCTGCACCAGGATGCACCCCCTCCCACCCGCACACTGGACGCTCTCAGCCCCAGCAGCCCATCGCCTCTGTCCGGGATCTGCTGCCCTCTCCGCTCGTGGCCTGCAGCCCCCGCCCCTCCC